TTTTTTTCCTTTTTCATTCTTGAGTTCTTGAAATTGGGTTAAGAGTTTTTATTACAGTGGGTAACTGGTTAGGGTATGAGGCAGGCAGGAAAGGGACTTTTCCCCCAACACACACACACACACACGACACAACACACACACACTAGGAGTTGGTTGGTGACCATCACGGTGGGGGGTGGTGGTCAGTTGGTTGTTAACTGTTTCTGTAAAGTAATTGGTCACAGCCAGTACGGGGGAAAGGCAGTCTCCTAATAGAAAACACCTGCAAGCGATCAGCAGCTTCCCAGTAAGATCTCAGGAGTGGGAAGCAGCTTACTTTCAAGATCATGGATGTATGCCAAGGTATCAAACCCCAAGTCAAGAGGCCAAGCTGTGCACTCGGTTTCTCAGGTCAACCGCTTGGCCTTCTTTTGTTTTGTTTGGTTTGAGACGGAGTCTCGCTGTGTTGCCCAGGCCGCTGTAACCTCTGCCTCCTGGGTTCAAGCAATTCTCGTGCCTCAGCCTCTCGAGTAGCTGGGATTACAGGCACCCACCACCAGGCCCAGCTAATTTTTATGTTTTTAGTAGAGACGTGGTTTCAACATGTTGGCCAGGGGGTTCTCAAACTCCTGACCTCAAGTGATCCGCCCGCCTCGGCCTCCCAAAGTGCTGGGATTACAGGCGTGAGACACTGCACCCGGCCCTAAAGCTTTTCAATAAACTTTGACGCCTGCTCTGAACTTCGCTCAGTCTCTCCTTTTGCCTTATACCCCTCAGTCAAATTCTTTCTTCTGAGGAGGCAAGAGGTTACTGCAGATCCAAACGGATTCACCAATGGTAATTTGGATATCTTCCACCAGTAACAGTTTTGCTGGACGCACTTTTTTTTTTTTTTTTTTTAGATGGAGTTTCGCTCTTGTCACCCAGGCTAGAGTGCAGTGGCACAATCTTGGCTCACTGCAACCTCCACCTCCCGGGTTCAAGTGATTCTCCTGCCTCAGCCTCCCAAGTAGCTGGGATTACAGGCGTGCACCACCACACCTGGCTAATTTTGTATTTTTAGTAAAGATGAGGTTTCGTCATGTTGGCCAGGCTGGTCTCGAACTCCTGACCTCAGGTATCTGCCCACTTCGGCCTCCCAAAGTGCTGGGATTACAGACGTGAGCCACAGCACCTGGCCCCTGCTGGACACACTTCTAAGTGGACATTTATTTGCTGTCATCACTTTAAAGCTAGTACTCCCACCTCCTAGCCTTTGTCACAGTGGTTGAGAAGCCAGCTCACGTTCTGTTGTCCTTGATAGGCAATTTGTCCTTTCTCTCTGCCTGCTTTCATCATTTCTCTCCGACATCCTGTAGTTTCAATAAAATGTGTATAAGCATGGATTTATGTATTATGCTTGAGATACTTCGTGTTTCCTGCTTCTGAGACTGTTTTTTCATCGCTTCTGGAAAACGTGCAGCCATTTCGTCTTCAAATACCGCCTCTTTCCTGCGCCCTTTATTTTCTTCTTTTGGGACTCTTATAAGATCTTCTCATTCTTATTCTCTGTATCTCTTAAGCTCTTTTCATGTTATCCATCTTCTTATCTCTGTTGCATGCTTTATGTATATAACTCCAGGCTTACTAATTCTCTCTTTTTGTTTGTTTTTTTTTTGTGTTTGTTTGTTTTTGTTGTTGCTGTTGTTGTTAAGACAAGATCTGGCCCTATTGCCCAGGTTGGAGTGCAGTGGCACAATCTCGGCTCACTACAACCTCTGCCTCCCAGGCTCAAACCATCCTCCCACCTTAGCTTCCTGAGTAGCTGGGACTACAAGCACATGCTACCATGCTGGGCTAATTAACTCTCTATTCAACTGTTTACTGTTAGTTGAATTTTAGATTTTGAGGTATTTTTTATTTTCATTTGTTTTTAGTAGAGACAAGGTCTTGTTCTGTCACTCAGGCTTGAGTGCAGTGGAGTGATTATAGCTCACTGCAGCCTCAAACACCTGGGCTCAAGCAATCCTCCTGCCTCAGTCTCCCAAGTAACTAGAACTACAGGTGTGCCCCCACCATGCCTGGCTATTTTTTTTTTTATAGGACAGGGGTCTTGCTATGTTGCCCAGGGTGGTCTGAAACTCCTGGCCTCAAGTGATCCTCCCACCTCAGCTTCTTGAGTCACTAGGATTAAAGGCATGAGATACCATATCCAACTTGGGATAATATTTTATTTCTTGAAGTTCCTTTTTTTCCCCCCAAATATTTCTCTCTCTTCATTCCTGTTCATTTATATGCTCAAGTTTGCGATTGCATCTTGTGTTTCTTTAAACATGTCATGTATGGCTATTCTGTATTCCATCCCTGGGGTCTAAATCTGTTACTTCCTTCTTTTCTGCTGACTCTCACTCGGTGGCTTACTTTCTTGTGATTTGGTAAGTTTTGTATGGAAGCCCATTGCCTGATCTCACTCTGGGCATCCTCCTGGCCTAACCAAGGGAAGCTTTCCTCCATATTGAGTTTGCTTCTCTCTTGCCAGTAGCAGGGCGCACCCCAACCCAGGACCACCTCAGTCCCCTCAGAGAGTTGTATCTCAGAGGAGATTCAACTTCTCATCTTCCCCACCCCTAGCTCTTCCAAAGTCACTATCACCAAATGGAAAAAATTGCTATAAGACTGGCTTTGGAACCAGCTCTCTCCTCCAGACAATAAGCCAGTTCATGCCAGCTCTCTGATACTCTCCCACGCCCCCAGCTCCAGCGGCCCTGGGCTCATTCTCCAGCTCCTTCTGTTGAAACCCAGGCTCTTGGCCACTCTATTCCCTCACCCTCCTTAATTTTTCTTCTCAGCACTTGTCACCACCTGTCCTGTCTGTCTCTTTGTTAAACTGTTCAGTGTAAGACATTCCTTCCCCACAAGAATGTGATGACTTGTTCATTTATATATCCTCAGCAACTAGTGCAGTGCCTAGAATATAACAAGTGTTTAACAATTACGTGATGGGTGAATGAATGAGTCAATGAGACACAGCACCTGTCTCCAAAATGCTCTCGGTCTGGCAGCTGAGACAGACAGGGACAGTCATAATACAGAGAAAGAACGTCTGTCAGAGGGGGAGGGCGGGGGTGGTGGGGCTGAAAGGAGGCTCCACCGTAGATTTGCAGGTCAGGGACCACTTCCCAGTCTGGACTGAGGGGAATGAGGATGTGCAAGGCTGAGACTTGAAGGATGTGTCGCCATCACTCCACAAACGAGATGCACAGGAGAGCCTTCCAGACAGACAACAGCCCAGAGATGAGAAAGAACCTGTTCAGGCAACTGAAAGCTGTTCAGTGTGGCAGCACCGAGGAGGAGGGGGGAAAGAGTGGTAAGACACAGCTGGAGAGGGGGACACAAGCCGGACCCTGAGCCTTTCCAGTTCCAGTGGGGAGTGTGGCAATGAAGAGGGGGTGCCGTGGAAGGGCTTCCGCAGGGGAGGACACGGGCAGGCTGCAGGATGGAAAACACCCTCTAGCTTCTGGATGAAGTTGGAATTGGGAGTGGGGAGGCAGGGAGGCCACGGGGCCTCTGCAGGAGATGGAGGCTAAGTCTGCACCAGGGCTGATAGCAGGGGTAGGGACACCCAAGGCAGACCCCTTGGGGTTTCTGGAGGCGGCTTTGACTGGCAATAGGAACACCTCAAGCTGAGTGGGCTGTGAATGAGGGGGACTCATCCAGTGGGCCGGGGCGCTGCCCCCTCAGCACAGCCTGGGTGGATTTAGAGAGTGAAGAGTCCACACCCCGGACTCCTGAGCCAATGCTCTTCTCATTAGAGTTTCCAGGTTTAGCAAAAATCAAAATACATCAACACAAAGGATACCCTGCTACATGTGAATCCAGGTAAACAACGAATAATGTTTTAGTATGTCTTCCAAATTGGGCATCTGGTATTTTATCTGACAACCCTATTTTCAATAGCCCTGCACACACATACATGCAAACACCCCTTTCTGAAATAACAGTAACAAAACCACACACAGAAATCTCCTAATCTGTGGTCCCGTTGACATTTACGTGTCATCCGTTCACCAAGTGCCTGCTCTGAGTCCCTGGCCCTGAACAGCAGCCCCCAGACTCCACCCTATTCCATCCTCCGGCAGAGTCTGGAAGCTCCCAAGAGGTGGCCCCCGGGCCCCATCTGGGCTTTGCTGGGAGGGAGAGGAAGGGGGACACGGGACCCTGGTTCCACACCATCTCCCTCAGTCCCTCCCCCACACCCAGGTGAGACATTTCCAGGAAGTGGTCCCTGCCCAGGGCCTGGACCCCAGCGGGGCTCAGGGCCACAAGCTTGGGGTTGCTTCCTGGAACTGCCAGTCTCATCCCGTGTCACTGTGGCCACATCCTCCCTTGGGCATCCCTGGGCTTAGTGAGGTCTGGGGCCAGGCTCTGGGCTGGAGGGCTCTATGCAAACCCAGCCACAGCAGGAGCCTGTGTCCCCCAGCTCCCCTGGAGCTGTCCAAGAGAAGAGCTAAAGGTTCCCATGATTCCTCGGGACCCTCATTAGCATGGGGACCCCCCACTCCAAGGCCTGGAGAGCCTGGGCTTAACCATGGGTGCTTGGATGGGTGCTCACATCACCCAGATGGTGGTGGGGGTGGGGAGATTCTGCCTGGAGTGAGTTAGTGTGGGAAAGAGGCCTTCTCTATCCACCACTGGGGCGATTTTGTAGAAGATGTGATAAATGACCACCAGGAATTTCAACAGACTGGAAGATTGGGGAACTGGGAGGTTGGGGGACATGTGGCACGGCCTGGAGGCTGCACTGTGTGGGGACTATTCCTGGAACAGCAGAAAGCCAGCAAGGTGGGAGTAGAGGCCCCTCTGGGGAAAGAAACTGAGGCATGGTGAGATGTGCCTAAGAAGGGGTTGTGCCTGCAAGGTTGAGCAGAGCTGGGCCTGGGGCTTAGACAGGCTGGCCTCTGAAACTCAGCCAACACTGTTAATAATAATAATAGCAAAAATACTAATGATAATACCAGTAACCGTTTACTGAGCACTTACTCTGTGCCAAGTCTCTTTATTTGAATTATTTTACTTAGTCCTCAAAATAGGTACCACTGCCTCTATTTTACAAATAGGAAAACTGAGGCACAGAGAGGCTGAGTGGCTTGTCCACAGTCTCACAGCTAGCATGTGGCAGAGCTGGCATTGGAGCCCAAGCAGCCTGGCTCCAGAGCCTGCGACACTCACTGCTTGGTGAAGGAGTTACTTGCGTCTAGAAATGTACAGAAGAGCAGAAGATGTCCCAGGAGAACTTTTCCAGAGGAAATCCTGCTCCCATTTTCTGCCTGTGACCTTCAAGGTCATCAAAACTGCCCGATGGCCCGGGGCAGGGCCCTGAGCACCTACCCCAGCGCTGCTCTGGTGCCAGCTATATCTGGGGTGCAGCCCCCAAAAGTGACAGCGCAATGGCGCATTGGGAAAAGAGATAAATGGCCATGTAAACATGTCTTGCTTTTCCTCCTGGAGGGAAGCGGGTCACTCAGCAGGCACAGTCCTGCAATTACGGCCCCTCCAGCTGGTGCATGGGGTTTGCAAACAGGTGTTTGAGCTATTCCAGATGCAGTCTTGGCACCAAGGGCCTCTGAGTGTTGGCCAGCGGCGCCCCCTCGTGTTCGTCCACGGAAACGCACTGGCTTCATGAGCGCTGTCTCCCACAGGGTCTGACAGGGCCGGGGTAAGGGTGATTCTCTGCAACTATGGCCTGAGCTTTGGATTTAAAACCCACACTCTCACGCCTACCAGGGCAAATTCAATCCTGCCCAATCACCAAATAGCCAGGTCACTGGGGTCCAGCTGATTCAGCAGGAGGAGAAAGAAGTGTTTTCCTCTGCCTGCCAAGAAAACTCTGTGGGATGGGCTACTGGTCCAAATGGTCTGTAGAAGTCTTGGGAGTACGCAGGAGGAGCCTCTGGGAAGGGCTGACCTCCCAGTCTTTGGGAAGGGTGGGCTTGGACTTGGAGTCATCATAATTTAGGGAGTTAAAGGAAAAGAGCCCTCAGGCATAGGCCAGTAGAGTCTCAGACCCTGGGTAGGTCCCACCTGCCCCAAGCCAAGATGCGGTCTGGCCCTCCCCAGGAGGAAGATGACAGGGCCGAGCAGGTGCTTCCATGGCAGCTTGGATGAGATCCTGCCCCTAGCAAGCAGGTGGAGGCTGTGGGAATTCCCACCCCATAGTGACACTCTTCCCCCTGGTCTTATGCAATCTTTACTAAGCTCCTGGGTCAAGCTGGACAAAGCTACTTGCTCCCATGTCACAGCTGTGGATACCCAGGGTCGGTGAGAAGTGGCAGGCCCAGGGTCATACAGACTCAGAACCAGGTCTTGAAACTTGGCCTCCCTGATGCCCAGGCTGGTGCTCTGCCCACATCCCTGGCCAGCTGGGCCCAGGTGCCAGGACAAAGTTTGCTGCCCCAGGTGAGGTTGGATCTGCCCTGGAGCAAAATGTCAGGGAGAGGTAGAGCAACACCTTCCCCTCAGTGCCTGGAGAGGCTGTGGAAGTGGAAAAGGCCCCTTGAGGGTCACAGTGGCCTCCGGGGTCCAGTAGCAAGCCTGCCACCCTCTAGCGGAATCCATGGCCTCAGGCTACTGGCAGCCAGAGAGGCTGAGGGTTCCAGGCCAGGAGGCCCAGACTACGGCGTTGTCTGGGAGGAGCTGAAGGCCTCTACCTGTGCCTTGGCCTCTGCTTCTGAGCGGCATCGCTGGGAGCAGAACCACAGGAAAAGGAAGAAACCTGCAAGAGAAAGGCTGGTAGGTGGGAGTGCTACGGGGCAGCGTGGGCTTCCCCAGAGGCCAGGGTCTCCTTGGCTGCAGCAAGCTGGCCTCTCTGGGGCCCATGAGCAACTCCCAGAATCTCTTACTGTAGGAGGCCAGCAGCGGCAGAGCCTCAGAGCTGGAAGAGCTGCTGTGGCCAGACCACAGAGTACCTTCATGCAGATGTAGTCCCCACCAGCTTAGCTAATGGGGCTGTGGGTTGGATGTCAGTGCCCCACTCGCCCCCTTCACCTGAACCCCTTTGGCAGTGAACATCCCACCAGCCATACATCCCCTGCCAGGTGGCTTCCTCCGGGTCGCCCTCCAGCCCTACCGTAGAGCGAGTTTAAGATGGTGAAGAGGAACAGCTGGGGCAGCAGGAAGACGCCAAAAGAAAAGAAGGCCAAGGCCCAGGTGGTTCCCAGCAGCACGGTGAGGCCCAGCACGGTGACAGTGTCATGGCAGGCCCTGGCATTCGGTGCGTCCACCCGCACCCGCAGCCTGCGCAGGGTCCACAGCGCCCAGGCCAGCACCACCAGGTTGAAAAGGGACGTGAGGCCACCGTAGCCCATGACCAGGACACTGTGTACCACAGGGCTCCGAACCCAGCACCTGCAGGGGAAGGTGATGTGTCGGGCTCACGGTGGCTCCTAGGCCCACGCGGAGGACAGTGTCGCTCCCTGAAGCCCCACTCGGTCTCCTGGCTCAGGCTCTATTGTTTCTTGCCTGACTGAACACACGGTGAAGCCCCTCACCCGGCTTTCCAGCCAGGCTACCACCAGAAGACGCATCTGCCGCCTTGGTCAACGATCTGAAGCTCCCTCATGCCCACCTTTCCAGCCACAGTGGTTTCTCTCATGTCCCCGTGTCTTCACCACCCTGAAAATTCTTCCTGTCTCCTTTCCACATCTCACTCCTCTCTGCTTCCACGGCCAGCCTGAGGCCGGCGTGCCCCATCTTCTATTGGACACTTGGCCCAGAGCCCTCTTTCCTGGAAACTCCCCCTTCCACTCCACTACATGGTTGTCGCCGCCTCATCTTCATCTCTGCAGTGGGACATCCCTACCCAGGAGCCTCTCTCCACCTAGACGGGGCCACCATGGCCTGCGCTGGACAGTGGGCAGGCTGCCAACCCATGGCTTGTGGACAAGGGCCCTCCAAGTGTCAACCTGAGAGTACACAGAGCAGCAGGAGGCTCACTGAGGGCTGAGCACAGAGCCATGGAGAACTGACCAAAGCCAGCCCTGATCCCGGGCCCTCCCAGAGGCCTCCACCCTCTGCCTCCCCAAGACACCTTCAAGACAGATGCCACCTTTTAGTCAGACACAATGTCATGCTGAGGCAGGAGAATGGGGTTCAGAGATAGGAACATAAGGACTTCCTAGAACTAAATCAAATGGAGGCCAGGCGCAGTGGCTCATGCCTGTAATCCCAGCACTTTGGGAGGCCAAGGTGGGCTGATCACTTGAGGTCAGGAGTTGGAGACCATCCTAACCAACATGGTGAAACCCCGTCTGTATTAAAAATACAAAAATTAGCTGGGCATGGTGGCGGGTGCCTGTAATTCCAGCTACTAGGGAGGCTGAGGGAGGAGAATCACTTGAACCTGAGAGGCAGAGGTTGCAGTGAGCCGAAATCGCACCATTGCACTCCAGCCTGGGTGACAGAGCAAGATTCCATCTCAAAATAAATAAAAATAAATCAAATGGAAACACTTCAGCTATGACAGGAAATATCCTCTCCATTTACATAGGGCGTATGTCAAATGACTTTGTAACTTTACTTCATCCTCCTCATTGACAGAGGGCGCACACCAAGTAACCAGTGGAAACCTCTAGAGGGTACTTAAACCTCCACAAATTCTGTAACACGACTCTTGAGGCCCTATGCTCTGGCCCACTCCTGCACATGCTTTCATTTTCAGTCAATCTCTGCTTTTGTTGCTTAATTCATTCCTCACTCTGTACACTTTGTCCTTTTTCTTTTTTCTTTTTTTTTTTTTTTTTTGAGAGGGAGTCTCTGCTGCCAGGCTGGAGTGCAGTAGCGTGATCTTGGCTCACTGCAACCTCCGCCTCCCGGGTTCAAGCAATTCTCCTCTCTCAGCCTCCTGAGTAGCTGGGACTACAGGTACCCAACATCACACCCGGCTAATTTTTATGTATTTTTAGTAAAGATGGGGTTTCACCATGTTGTCGAAGCTGACCTCGAACTCCTGACCTCAGCTGATCCACCTGCCTCGGCCTTCCAAAGTGCTGGGATTACAGGCATGAGCCACCATGCCTAGACTTGTCCAATTCTTTGTTCAAGATGCCAAGAACCTGGACACCCCCCACCAGTAATGATGTGCTTTATGTGAATTGTCCCCTGCAATCTCCATGACAACCCATAAGGCAAGTACATAATCATCCTCATTTTGCAGATGAGGAAACTCAGGCTGTGGCTCAGGAACACATTCCAGTTAGAGGCAAAGCTGGAACCTAAAGCCCCCGGCCCAGAGCCTGAGCCCCTAACTGTCACAATCCCCTGCTCAGGTTCGCTGCGTGGCTCCTGCCCCTACAGTCACAAGGGTCCCAGGACATTATTTTGGGATTCCTCCGAGTTGATGAGTGTGGTAGGGGATCACTCACTCTCACCGTTAGGGAATATCCCCACAGGGGCAGCTCTACCACAGTCCATTCAGCCAGCATCCCGTCAGCGGACATCTGAATGATTTTCAAGGGTTGTATTTGTTTTGTTTTTTGAGATGGAGTCTCACTCTCTCTCCAGGCTGGAGTGCAGTGGCGCAATCTCAGCTCACTGCAACCTCCACCTCCCAGGTTCAAGCGATTCTCCTGACTCAGCCTCCTGAGTAGCTGGGATTACAGGTGCACACCACCACGCCTGGCTAATTTTTGTATTTTTAGTACAGATGAGATTTCTGCAAGTTGGCCAGGATGTGTTTTGTTTGTTTGTTTGTTTCAAGTTGGAGTCTTGCTGTTGCCCAGGCTGGAGTGCAGTGGCGCTATCTCACCTCACTGTAATCTCTACTTCCCGGGTTCATGCCATTCTCTTGCCTCAGCCTCCCAAGTAGTTAGGACTACAAGCGCCCACCACCATGCCCAGCTAATTTTTTGTTTTTAGTAGAGATGGGGTTTCACTGTGTTAGCCAGGATGGTCTTGATCTCCTGACCTCACGATCTGCCCGCCTCGGCCTCCCAAAGTGCTGGGATTACAGGCGTGAGCCACCGCGCCCAGCCTGTTTTTGGTTTTTAACTGATGTTTGGGTTTAGGAATGTGTATATACATGGTAAGAGATGTTTTAAATTGAAGAGAAAAAAAGTCACAAACCCCAAGGTAATTGTTTCCTGAGAGGAGAGGGGAGAGTGAGGGAGACCCAGGGAGAAGCTGGCTCGTAGGTGGGTGTTCTCTAACATCTGTGTATTAGTGGGTCCTGTGGATGTGTCACTATAGCTCCTTTGTCCTCGTCACATTATTATATAAGAAAATAGGCTGGGCATAGTGGCTCACACCTGTAATCCCAGCACTTTGGGAGGCCAAGGCAGAAGGATCACCTGAGGTCAGTTGAGACCAGTTTGGCCAACATGCTGAAACCCTATCGCTACTAAAAATACAAAAATTAACTGAGCATGGTGGCAGGCACCTGTAATCCCAGCTACTCGGGAGGCTGAGGCAGGAGAATCGCTTGAATCCAGGAGGCAGAGGTTGAAGTGAGCTGAGATCGTGCCATTGCACTCCAGCCTGGGCAACAAGAGCGAAACTGCATCTCAAAAAAAAAAAAGAAAGAAAGAAAGAAAAGAAAATACATCTTCAAAGAGTATGTAAACTGAGGCCAGAGATTCTATTTCTTCATCTGTAGGATGGGGATGATTATGCACTTGCCTTATGGGCTGTCAAGGAGATTGCAGAGAACAATTCATGTAAATTGAAGTCACATGTCCTCTGATACACCCAAGCCTCACTGTGAGGGATCAGGCCCACCTATGTACCACGCAGTCCCCCGGCCTTGCTTCAGGGGCTGGGGGCCAGGCTCTGGACTAGCCTGCCAGAGACCACGTCCCAGCTCTGCCCCTGACTGGCTGGGGCTCCTCAGGTAGAGTTCTGAAGCTGCCTGTTTCTCAGGGGCCCTAACTGTAAAATAGGGCTGGCAACAGGACCCAGCCCTTGCCCTTGTGAAAACGGAACCGGCTGATACCCAAGGCCTGCCACAGAACCAGCCCCCAGCTATCCTGAGCCTTCATCAGCCAAGAAGGAAAAAGAAGGTTCCACAGCCAACTGCAAGTGAGTGACGGGCCGGTGGGGGTTCCTTAGGCTAGTCTATGTCTGGCTGTTAGAAATGCTGCATAATAATAAATAGTGTCCTTAATGTCCTCGCCTGCAGGAAGGGGCCATAAAAAAAGCAGTAGCGTGTCCCCCGGCCCCCAAAGGCCTACCTCGCTGCCTCTCCTTGCCTCCCCCAAGCCCAGCCCCCACAGCATTCTTGTCCGACTAGGAGGGCTTGAGAGGCCTGGCAGTGCCTAGGGCAGATTGGGAGGAGTCGGAGCCTGGGTAGGTGCAGCAAGGTGGTCTGCAGGGGAACAGAGTCAAGTGCAGGCTGAGCCAGACCCTTAGGGCCTGGGCACTGGAGGACGGGGCAGGACAGAGGAGACGGGAGGCCCGGCTGCCCTGGCATGTTGGCGAACAGATGTGGCTCCGTAGACTTTGTCAGCATAGAATACAAGGCTGCCTCTGCAGGAGACCTGGATCCATGGAAGGGATGTGACGGAGCCCCATGCAAACTCCCCTGTCAACCCCAGCTCCCTCTCTGCCCCACAGCCAGTGCCTTGCCTACAGAATATTCCATTTGGAGTCCCAGGCCCTTCTGCCAGAGCCAGGGAGCCCACTCAGCCCTGAGGGCACTCACATGGACATGTTCTGGAAGCCTGTGCCATTCTCCCAGCTGTTGAAGACGGGGATTGTGTGGGGTCCGTACACTGAGCTCTTGACAGAGAGGCAAAGCAGCACCAGGAGGGCTGGGACCCCTGAGAGGTGAGACAAAGGCTCAGGAGATGTGGGAGAGGGCTGGCCCTTGGTCCCTGGGGCTGCTGACACAGAATTCCACTGGGCAAGGGACAACTGGGAGGAGACTGTTCTGAGCCCCCAGCTTCAGAGCAATAAGCCTGGTGGTTTGGAGGAAGCTCAGCTCTACAATGGAACAGTGGTGGAAGGAGGAGTGGTCACACCGGGACGGTGATGGTGGGGAGCAAATGGGAGGGAGGACTGGGGAACTGCTGAGGAAATAAATATAAGCCAGAAAGGGGCAAGGACGGTGATGAAGGTAGCAGTGATGGTACTGTTGGAGATAGAGAAGGTGGAAGAAGTGATGATGGTGGTGATGGAGGTGGAGGAGGTGGTGACGGTGGTGAAGGAGGTAGAGGAAATGATGGTGGTGATGGAGGTAGAGGAGATGATGGTGATGATGGAGGTGGAGGAGATGTTGGTGATGATGGTGATAGTGGAGGTGGAGGAGGTGATAATGGTGATGACAGAGGTGGAGAAGATGGAGGAGGTGATGGTGATGATAGAGGTGGAGGAGGTGATGGTGATGATAGAGGTGGAGGAGATAGAGGAGGTGATGGTGATAGAGGTGGAGGAGGTGATGATGGTGATGGAGGTGGAGGAGGTGATGATGGTGCTGATAGAGGTGAAGGAGATGGAGGAGGTGATGGTGATGGCGATGGAGGGAGAGGAGGTGATAATGGCGGTGACAGAGGTGGAGGAGATGAAGCAGGTGATGGTGATGAAGGAAGTGAAGGTGTTATGATGGTGATGATGGAGATGGAGGAGGTGATGATGATGGCGATGGAGGTGGAGGAGGTGATGGTGGTGACAGAGGTGGAGGAGATGAAGCAGGTGATGGTGATGAAGGAGGTGGAGGAGGTGATAGTGATGATAGAGGTGGAGGAAACGGAGGTGATGGTGATGATGGAGCTAGAGGAGGTGATGATGGTGATGATGGAGGTGGAGGAGGTGATGATGGTGATGATGGAGGTGGAAGATGAATCAGGTGATGGTGATGAAGGAGGTGGAGGTGATGGTGATGATAGAGGTGGAGGAGATGGAGGTGATGGTGATGATGGAGCTACAGGAGGTGATGATGGTGATGATGGAGGTGGAGGAGGTGATGATGGTGATGATGGAGGTGGAGGAGATGGAGGAGGTGATGGTGATGATGGTGATGATGGAGGTGGAGGAGGTGATGATGGTGATAATAGAGGTAGAGGAGGAGGTGATGATGGTGATGATGGAGGTGGAGGAGATGGAGGAGGTGATGGTGATGATGGTGATGATGGAGGTGGAGGAGGTGATGATGGTGATAATAGAGGTAGAGGAAATGGAGGTGATGGTGATGATGAAGGTGGAGGAGGTAATGATGGTGATGATAGGGGTGGAGGAGATGGAGGAGGTGATGATGAATGGAGGTGGAGGAGGTGATGATGATGGTGATGGAGGTGGAGGAGGTGATGATGATGGTGATGGAAGTGGAGGAGGTGATGATGGTGGTGACAGAGGTGGAGGAGGTGATGATGATGGCGATGGAGGTGGAGGAGGTGATGGTGGTGATAGGGGTGGAGGAGGTGATGATGATGGCGATGGAGGTGGAGGAGGTGGTGACAGAGGTGGAGGAGGTGATGATGGTGATGATGGAGGTGGAGGAGGTGACGATGGTGATGACAGAGATGGAGGAAATGGAGGAGGTGATGATGGAGGTGGAGGAGATGGAGCAGGTGATGATGGTGATGATGGAGGTGGAGGAGATGGAGGAAGTGATGGTGATGATGGAGGTGGAGCAGGTGATGATGGTGATGATGGAGGTGGAGGAGATGGAGGAAGTGATGGTGATGATGGAGGTGGAGGAGGTGATGATGGTGATGATAGAGGTGGAGGAGATGGAGGAGGTGATGATGATGGCAATGGAGGTGGAGGAGGTGATGATGGTGGTGACAGAAGTGGAGGAGATGGAAGAAGTGATGTTGATAACAGGTGGAGGAGGTGGTAATGGTAGTGATAGAGGTGGAAGAGATGAAGGAGATGGAGGAGGTGATGGAGGTGGAGGAGGTGATGATGGAGGTGATGGAGGTGGAGGAGATGGAGGAGGTGAAGATGATGGCAATGGAGGTGGAGGAAGTGATGATGGTGGTGATAGAGGTGGAGGAGATGGAGGAGGTGATGTTGATAACAGAGGTGGAGGAGGTGATAATGGTAGTGATAGAGGTGGAGGAGATGAAGGAGGTGGAGGAGATGGAGGAGGTGATGGAGGTAGAGGAGGTGATGATGGAGGTGATTGAGGTGGAGGAGGTGATGATGGAGGTGATGGAGGTGAGGAGGTGATGATGGTGGTAATGGAGATGGAGGAGATGGAGGAGGTGATGGTGAAGATGGAGGTGGAAGAGGTGATGATGATGGTGGTGATGGAGGTGGAGGAGATAGAGGAGGTGATGGAGGTGGAGGAGGTGATGATGGAGGTGATGGAGGTGATGGAGGTGGAGGAGGTGATGATGGATGTGAAGGAGGTGGTGATGGAGGTGAAGGAGGTAATGATGGATGTGATAGAGGTGGAGGAGGTGGTGATGGAGGTGATGGAAGTGGAGGTGGTGGTGATGGAGGTGGAAGAGGTGATGGTGATGATGGAGGTGGAGGTGGTGATGGAGGTGATGGTGATGATGGAGGTGGAGGTGATGACGGAGGTGATGGAGGTGGAGGAGGTGGTGATGGAGGTGGAGGAGATGATGGTGGTGGTGGAGGAGGTGGTAGAGGTGGAGGAGGTGATGATGATGGTGATGAAGGTGGAGGAGGTGGTGATGGAGGTGGAGGAGGTGATGGTGATAACGGAAGTAGAGGAGATGATGATGGTAGTGATGGAGGTGGAGGAAGTGATGCTGATAACGGAGGTGAAGGAGGTGATGATGGTGGTGAAGGAGGTGGAGGAGGTGATGATGGTGATGATGGAGGTGGAAGAGGTGATAAAATTAGTAATGTAGAAAGTAGAGGCAGGTGTAGACAGAGATCACAGCTAGTGGTCATGTAATGGCCACTATGATGATGAGGAGGAGGGGAAAGAAAGGACTAAAAGGGGTCAATATCCTGCCCGCCTGGAGGTCTGAGGAGGACAGGAGAGATGCTGTGCTTACCCCAGCCTAGCACACCAAGCTTGAGCACATATCTGCGGGTGTAGATGTTGTAGACGCGCCCGAGCAGGAGGTAGAGGTTGAAGCCCTCGATGGCCATCCAGGTGAGGCAGCTGAGCAGCGCGTAGTGCAGGGCAGCAGCCAGAGCCGTGCACGCTGACTGGGGCACAGGAGACATGGCAAATGCGGGGCTCAGCAGGAAGGTGATGTTCAGGAGCAGCACGGAGGCGTGCAGGTTCATGTGGATGCGTGCTAAAGAGTCACTCTTCTTCCTGCAGGTGAGAGCATGGCCCTCCATGGCCCAGGGACATCATCCAGGCAGCACTACCCACTGGTGCACGCCGACAGGGAAAATGAGGTGAAGAAGGGGCAGGGATCCCACAGCAGTCGCACCAAGAGGCTGGTCTCCCACCTCCTGGCCCCCACCCTCTGAAGAAGCACACCCAGTTCTAGTTGACTAAATGGGACACAAGGAAGGGTGATGTGCCACAGTTGGGGGCAGGCTCAGCACTGTGGCAGCGGAATACCTGGAATGGAAGTGCAACAGGACCGTGATCAGCGAGGCCACGATGGAGATGCTGCAGCCCACGAGGGAGATGTATGTAAGAGGTGCCAGCAACTCTGCAGGGACCAGGGCCGGGGAGAATTGCTGCAGGAGGGAAGAGGGGCTGTAGGCCAGAAGCATAGTATTGCCCTCCCTCCCAGCCTCAGTCAGAGAGACCTCCTGAGGCCTCCTCTCCAAGTCCCCTTCCCCACAAGCCTAGCCATGGACCTGGCCTGAACGAGGCCATGGCAGATACAGTGAGTTTTGCCCCCGCCACAGCTCCCATCTCCCTCTTCTGCTATGAGTGCCTCCCTTCCCCTACTCCCTATGCACCTGGGGGGTTCCACCACTTTGTCCTCTCTGTGCAGAAAGGTGCGCCAGGCCTGGTCAAGCAGGGCCCTCCCTCCTCCTGCCTATAGTGATTGGTTCAGGGATGAGCACATGGCTGGCAGAACTGGGTAAAAGATTTTATTCCACCGGTCTGAAAGCTTGCAGGGCATGAGCCTGGAACTGCTGCCAGCTATATTATTATCTCATATTAGGAGTTCCTATTTGAGGGCTAAGCCAGCACAGAGCAAGCACAGTTGAGGAACAGAGATAGAGTGCTATCTTAGTGATCTTAGTGATCAGCCCCTGGATCAAGCCATGCCTGAAGCCTAACCCAGCCTTTTCAGGAACATGAGTCCTTAAATTTTCTTTCTTTTTCTTTTTTTCTTTTTTTTTTTTTGCTTAAGCCCATTTAAGTTGGGTTTTCTGCCCCTTGCACCAGCTTTTGCCTTGCTCCTCTGCCACAGACACAGGGCCCTCTACAGCTCTGGGCCCCACTCAGGATGCATACATACCATGAGAACAGCAAAGTAGGTGAGGTGGTTGCAGCGGCAGAGCACCTGAGAGTGGGAGGGCTGCTCTGTACGACAGCCCTCAGGGCTCCAGCCGCCCCAGGGCTGTCTCCTGGCTCCCTCCTTCCAGAAGACACAGCTCAGGGTGTAGCCTTCCTGGGTGGAGATGCTGGAGTCAGTCATAGGGTGCAGAGGAAAGGCTGCAGATCAGTGTCTGGGAGTCCTGGGGGCCAACGGTGACTCAACTGTCCATTCACCAACATTTTACCAGGCACTGGCTGGCCTTTGGCCTCAGTCTCAGATTCCAGTCCCATCTCCACTGTGGGCTCTCAGAGCGACCCGGGCAAGATGCCAAGTTGCTCTGCGCCTCAGTTTAGTCATCTGCAGAATAGGATCATTCATACCCATATTACAAGAACGGTGGAAAAACAAAGGGCAACATGGAATCTTGAGTGTCCAGCTCTGGCCTTTTATACAGTAGGCACTCCATAACCAGCTGATCCCTTCCCCTCGTCCCCGTGGGGAACAGCAATGTGCTCAGACCCATGCCTGGTTGGGGGAGACGCATCTACAGACAACCCTAACGCCAAGTCACGTGGGTGGAGAGGTGGAGGAAATGACACAGGCCGTCACGGAAAACCATGGAGGGCAGGCAGAGCTGACCCAAAGGGAGATGGGGAGGTGGGGGCCCTGAGGCCTTAGAGGATGTGTTGGATTTCAATATGAGTAGGGCAAGGGCATTCCAGGTGGAGGGAACCGTAGTGGCAAAAGCCCAGAGATGAAAGGAAAGGATGATGGTGAAATTTACAGTGCAGGGCAGTCCTGGTGAGGCTGAAGGGAAGATGGAGCAGAAAGCAAAGGCTCCGGGCTTTTCAGGAATGGCAGGAACCAGAAAAGGAGGCACTGAGGCTTGTGAGCCACCCCACTCTGCCCCCACCCCCAATGAGCAGCCCTTTCTTTGTTGCAGGATCAGCATCTGCACTTCCCCTAGGAGCTCACTCTTTCACCCCAGTCCCTGGGCCGTGTGACCCAGGCCTGGCCAATCCACACCTTCCATCCCCCTGGACACAGTGACAGGTACAGGGATGTACACATGACCCAGTTGAACCTTTAAGATCCTGAGACCCTGATCTGCACTGGGGCAGGTTGGGGATGGGGAGTGAGGGGAAGAGCCTGATGGGAAGAAGGAAAGGAAGTCTGGCTCTTCAGCATCCATCATGCCACAGAATGGACAGCCAAGGCAGGAGACCATTGCTGAGATGGAGAGAGACTGAGCCACGAGGGCATCAGATCCCTCCCTGGATCCAGCTGTGCCTGAAGCTGGTGGACCATCCCTAGACATTTCACTGATGTGTGCCAATCAGTTCCCTCTGTGCTCAGGCTGGCTTGAGGTGGTCTTTTCTCACTTGCAACTGAAAGCATCCTGACAAATGCATGAGTAAAAACTTCTCTCTCTCTTATTTCTTGAGCAGGAATTTTCAAAGTGTGATGGATTTCCAAGATGGTTCCACAGGTTTGGGTCTGGTCAAACCAATGTTCAACAGGAGAGTCACAGAGGGGCAGGGGTGCAGGGGAAATGGGGGCACCCCCAGCAGTACCAGGCTTTGGTTGTGCCAGAAGCTGATGTTCACCGGATCCCTGAGGTTGTTCACATGCCCATGACTCAGCTGGGCCCCCAGGACGTAGTTATTAAGCAGAGATGAGTTGTTTTCATCCTGGAAGGGCAGCGGGAGAAGGATTGAGTGGAGGGGAAATGGGGAGGCCCTGGGTAAGGTCTGAGCCCCGCTTCCCTGGATGAGAACAAGCAGCAAGAGTTTCACGTGTGCAGCATGAAAGCCTTCCCAGCCTCCCAGCCTCCCAGCCTCCCAGCCTTCCCAGCCTTCTCAGCCTCCCAGCCTTCCCAGCCTCCCAGCCTCCCAGCCTTCTCAGCCTCCCAGCCTCCCAGCCTCCCAGCCTCCCAGCCTTCTCAGCCTCCCAGCCTTCCCAGCCTCCCAGCCTTCTCAGCCTCCCAGCCTTCCCAGCCTTCCCAGCCTTCCCAGCCTCCCAGCCTTCTCAGCCTCCCAGCCCCTTCCCAGCCTTCCCAGCCTCCCAGCCCCAGCCTCCCAGCCTCCCAGCCTCCCAGCCTTCCCAGCCTTCCCAGCCTTCCCAGCCTCCCAGCCTTCTCAGCCTCCCAGCCTTCCCAGCCTTCCCAGCCTCCCAGCCTCCCAGCCTTTGCATATGCTGTTCCTGCCCTGTGGAAAGCTGTCCTCTCACCACCCCCTGCTTCACCTCCCATTCATTTAATGCATTCCAGTCCCACACCCTCCACCTCACCACTATCCTCACACACTTTCAAAGCCAAGGTTGAAAGGCACCTTCCCCAGAAGCTCCTCTGGACTGCCCACTGGGAAGAGCCCTGACCCCACCCTGACTCATCCATCGCTCTGGATCTTTATGGCTATAATCGATCTTGTGCTGACATTAAATCTCTAAGGTTGGGCCGGGCACAGTGGCTCACGCCTATAATCCTAGCATTTTGGGAGGCTGAGGCGGGCAGATCACGTGAGGCCAGGAGTTCAGGATCAGCCTCGCCAACATGGTTAAACCCAGTCTCTACTAAAAATACAAAATTAGCTGGGCATGGTGATGCATGCCTATAATCTCAGGGAGGCTGAGGCAGGGGAATCGCTTGAACCTAGGAGGCGGAGGTTGCAGTGAGCCGAGATCATGCCACTGCACTCCAGCCTGGGCAACAGAGCGAGACTCTGACAAAAAAAAAAAAAAAAAAAAAAAACCTCTAAGGTCTTAGTCTAAGCATGAAGACAGAGAGTTCTCTGAGTGCAGGGAACAAGTGTCTTCTTGTCTGTCTCCCGCCTAGCGACAGGCACATAGTAGGTTTCTTAGGTCTTATTTGCAGATTGTAATTGTGCCTTCCTACCATTCTGCTAAAGCTGGCAGGGAAACTGAGGCCCAGAGAGGGACAATGGCTGGCTTGCATTGCACAGCCGACTGGTTGGTCTCACTCAGTGCTGGTCACCCAGAGGCCAGGCAGTGACATGGGCACCTGCAGTGGATCCCAAGAAGAGGCCGGCACCCACCCTCCTTGGCCCGCCATCACACTGACCTTGAAAAAGTGAGCATTGGAGAAGTAGATACAGATGAGCCGCAGCTCCCCGGGCCGGGTCTTGCAGGCGTCCTGGGTCAGCTCGGCGGGGAACTGCATGGCATGCTGACCCCAGGCATACTGACCCCGGGCATGTTGACTCCGGGCCTGCAGAGGGTCACAGATAAGCTGAGTCTGGCAACCAGGACCTGTAGACCTGACCCCAACACCTTCACTGCCTCCCACTCCCCATGAAACCTTCCTTGGGGTTTCCACCCACAGAACCTTCTCCCCCCAGGCTGCATCTCCTCCCAAACTTCCCGAGATCCCAGGCCTTCCCTCCATGCTGTTCCTGAGTTTGGGGTGTTTACCTGACCCACTGGGCCCCTGAAGATGGAGCTACCTCAGCACTCAGCCCCAGCTCAGCCCCCGCCAGGGATCCAGCCAATCATCCCAGGGTCCTAAAAGGAGCCAGGGTTCCTGGCCTCTCTCACAGCTGCCTCCCCCGGGGGTAGCCTCCAGCCAAAGCAGGAAGAAGACTCCGCCCTGGAGGGGCCATAAAGCACCACCCTTTCCACAATTCACACAGCGAGTATCAGCCCCATTTTACAGAGGAGGTAACTCACTGCCAGTTAGGGCAGAGCCTGGACTGGGGGGTGTGGGGAGGAGGACGGTGGAGCCTAAAGAAAGTCCAGACCTTAAACCCCTGGAGGACTTCTAGGGCAGGGGCAGCTGGCCACGCCCCCACCACCACCACCTGCAGCCTCTGACCTGGGGCACCCGCTTCAGAGTGGCACTGCTCAGTGAGAGGCCAGAGAAGTTGCAGCTCAGCTTGAAGGCCAGAGACTGGATGGTGGGTGTCTGCAAGGTCAGGTTGTAGCCCGGGAAGCTGGTGTTCAGTAGCATCTGCTCCAGCTGGTGAAGTTGACTGCAGCCCGGAGAGACGGCCAGGGAGGCCAGAGCCCAGAGTGGGGTAAGGGTGAGAGGGAGCTCTAGACAGCCTGGGAGGGCAGGGCCTCCCCACCCACACCCCTGCCACTCCCACCTCCAGACCACTGCATACACAGTGTCCTTGGCACACTGTTACCTCCCTACCCCATCTATCCCCTCCTCTCGATTAACTCCTGTTCAGGTCCCAGTTTGTTGTCACCTTCTCCAGGAAGCCTTCCCTGACTGCTCCCTCACAGCTTCCCAGTAGCCGCTCTTATCCCTGACCAGTCTTCAGCATTGTCTGCTCACCCAGAGCTGCTCAGTCTTTGGGTCACAGACCCTGGAGAACCCAGCCAGAATTTTAGAGTCCCTTCCCAGGAAAATGCATGGAGACCCACAATTCTACACTTAGTTTCATGATATCCATGATTAAGGGCCCCCATTCCTCAATGATAAACTTCATGAGGGCAGTGACACGCCCACCCTGCATCCGCAGAGCCTAGTGTCAGGCATGCAGTAGGCACTCAATAAAAGTGCTGAAAAAATGCACAGTTAAGAGTCTATACTAGACCAACTCTGACCCCCTGATTCAAGGTGCAGGCTTGGGGTGGGAGACACAGCTGGCTCTAAACAGGAGAAGGCCACGTCCAACTCACCGAAGGTAAAAAAACGGGCTCCGGGCTCTGGACACTTGCATATTCTCCATGTAGCTCAGGAGTTCTTTCCGTGTCTCTGTGGGGACACACCTCCCCCTCAGCTTGTGTCTCAGCTACCCTCTGGCCCCACCACCTCTGGGCTTTCCATCCCAGCCTGAGAGTCTAGTTCACAAGCAGCTCCTGCTGCCCCTAGGAAGCCTAAGTGGCCCCTTTCAATCTCCCAGGGTTTGATGCCTGCCCCTTTTGCATCATAGTCCCAGGACTGGGCTAGGGCTGCCCCCAGTTCAGCAGAGCTCCCTTACCTGCTGTTGCATTCTGCAAAGTCAGAAGGCACAGGCACAGGAAAAGAGTACCACAGTGATCCATGCCCTGTGCTGAGTCTCCTCCAAAAACTGGCTCTGGCCCTGGAAAAGGTACATGCCATCATCATGATGATAAAAGAACGGCCTCTAACTTCTAGGTGTCTGGCATGTCCCAATAGTAGGACATGCAGCATCTTATTTGACCCTCACCACTCTTGCATTTCACAGATGAGGAAGCTGAGGATGAAGGGCAAAGGGTCTTGCTTTACTTAAACCTGCCTAAAGCCAGGTCTCTAAGACTCCAGAATCCTTGACCACCAAGTAATGGCTGCCATTAGCAGCTCTGCCTGATACACTCCCCCTCCCAAAAAGCAGTCTATCTGGGGGCTTCCCCAGGACACCAGCTTCTACCCAGACAGAAGGTGTTTGGGAGAAAGCAACATGTAAACTCCATCCAGCCCTGCTATTAACTCATCATGTGGCTTTGGGTAGGATCTGTCTCTCTCTCTGCCCTCATTTTCCTCCATTTTAAAATGAATTAATAAACTTCTGCTTCAATAGAGCAAATTTATGTGTGCCCCTGAAAGCCCCATTAACATGAGAGGGAATGAATAAAATAGGCATAAAGTCACAGAACAATGGGAAAGAAAATAGGCATGAAAAACAGTACAATGGGGAAGAAAAGAGGCACAAAGCCTCTCAGGAAGCTGCTGGAGGATGTGCTCCAACAAAACGAGAGAGTAAATCATGAAAGAAGACACAGGGTACAGGAAACCCTATACCCTACCATGGGAGAGGTAAAGCTACTCCCTAGAAAACAGGCACAAAGAGAGAGCAATGGGAAAGAAAACAACTGCAGAGATGGGAGATGTCAGCTAAATTTTGGAGGCTACAAGTAGGTGGCACCTGGTAAGACATTTAGCAGACTGAAAAAAGTTGAACCCAAGTGCCTGCAGTGGGGAGAGGTGTGGTGTTGGCGGGAGACAAGAAGCCTCAGAACCTTGGAAGCACTTGAGAACTGGAGGCATCAGAAACTTCTGAAGTGGAGATGAAGGAAGAGGCTAAAAACAGGGATTGTTGGTCAGACACGGTGGCTCACGCCTGTAATCCCAGCACTTTGGGAGGCCGAGGCGGGTGGATCATGAGATCAGGAGATCGAGACCATCCTGGCTAACATGGTGAAACCCCATCCCTACTAAAAATACAAAAAATTAGCCAGGTGTGGTGGCAGGCGCCTGTAGTCCCAGCTACTCAGGAGGCTGAGGCAGGAGAATGGCATGACCCAGGAGGCAGAGCTTGCAGTGAGCGGAGATGGTGCCACTGCACTCCAGCCTGGGCAACAGAGTGAGACTGTGTCTCAGAAAAAACAAAAACAGGGATTGTTGTCCAGGCATGGCAGCTCACACCTGTGATCTAAAACACTTTGGGAGGCCAAGGCAGGAGGATCGCTTGAGACCAGGAGTTCCAGACCAGCCAGGGCAACATGGCAAAACTCTGACTCTACAAAAAAATATAAAAATTAGCCGGGTATGGTGGCCTGCGCTTGTGTCCCCAGCTACTCAGGTGGGTGAGGTGGAAGAATCACCTGAGCCCAGGAGATGGAGGCTGCAGTGAGTCAAAATCATACCACTGCACTCCAGCCTGGGCAACAGAATGAGACCTTGTCTCAAAAAAATAAAAAATAAAAATAAAAACAAGATTCGTTGGTTGTGAGTCTTTAATGTCCAACTCAGTCCCCAGATCTCCCCTGCCACCTCGAGTTTTCAGGAGTTTCCTCACCATCCTACCATCCCAATCCTGCTCCACACAAAGTTTACTCTCTGGAGAGAGGATGCACCATAATCAGAGCAGAAGGGGGAATTAAACAATATCCCCTCCCCATGTCCTCCCCTACTCAGATTCCAGAAGACTGCAGCAGCCAGGGTTATGCCCCGAGGCAGGAGAAAAGTCTCTGAAGAGCTAACCATTCCCAGAATAGTATCCTATAGCTGCTTCCATTTTTGTGTTCCTCAATGTCATGGCCAAGACCTAACTTACAGTGAAATTTCACCAATTACCAAGCTCTGCCAACAGTGAAATTTCACCAGTCACCAAGCTCTGCCAAGCAATTAGGTTTTTAGTGCTCCTCTCTTGAACGGTCAACCAAGGATTACTGAAAATTTCAAAACACACACACTTTCTTGAGAAGCTGCTGGAGGATGTGCTCCAACAAAACGAGAGAGTAAATCATGAAAGAAGACACAGGGTACAGGAAACCCTATACCCTACCATGGGAGAGGTAAAGCTACTCCCTAGAAAACAGGCACAAAGAGAGAGCAATGGGAAAGAAAACAACTGCAGAGATGGGAGATGTCAGCTAAATTTTGGAGGCTACAAGTAGGTGGCACCTGGTAAGACATTTAGCAGACTGAAAAAAGTTGAACCCAAGTGCCTGCAGTGGGGAGAGGTGTGGTGTTGGCGGGAGACAAGAAGCCTCAGAACCTTGGAAGCACTTGAGAACTGGAGGCATCAGAAACTTCTGAAGTGGAGATGAAGGAAGAGGCTAAAAACAGGGATTGTTGGTCAGACACGGTGGCTCACGCCTGTAATCCCAGCACTTTGGGAGGCCGAGGCGGGTGGATCATGAGATCAGGAGATCGAGACCATCCTGGCTAACATGGTGAAACCCCATCCCTACTAAAAATACAAAAAATTAGCCAGGTGTGGTGGCAGGCGCCTGTAGTCCCAGCTACTCAGGAGGCTGAGGCAGGAGAATGGCATGACCCAGGAGGCAGAGCTTGCAGTGAGCGGAGATGGTGCCACTGCACTCCAGCCTGGGCAACAGAGTGAGACTGTGTCTCAGAAAAAACAAAAACAGGGATTGTTGTCCAGGCATGGCAGCTCACACCTGTGATCTAAAACACTTTGGGAGGCCAAGGCAGGAGGATCGCTTGAGACCAGGAGTTCCAGACCAGCCAGGGCAACATGGCAAAACTCTGACTCTACAAAAAAATATAAAAATTAGCCGGGTATGGTGGCCTGCGCTTGTGTCCCCAGCTACTCAGGTGGGTGAGGTGGAAGAATCACCTGAGCCCAGGAGATGGAGGCTGCAGTGAGTCAAAATCATACCACTGCACTCCAGCCTGGGCAACAGAATGAGACCTTGTCTCAAAAAAATAAAAAATAAAAATAAAAACAAGATTCGTTGGTTGTGAGTCTTTAATGTCCAACTCAGTCCCCAGATCTCCCCTGCCACCTCGAGTTTTCAGGAGTTTCCTCACCATCCTACCATCCCAATCCTGCTCCACACAAAGTTTACTCTCTGGAGAGAGGATGCACCATAATCAGAGCAGAAGGGGGAATTAAACAATATCCCCTCCCCATGTCCTCCCCTACTCAGATTCCAGAAGACTGCAGCAGCCAGGGTTATGCCCCGAGGCAGGAGAAAAGTCTCTGAAGAGCTAACCATTCCCAGAATAGTATCCTATAGCTGCTTCCATTTTTGTGTTCCTCAATGTCATGGCCAAGACCTAACTTACAGTGAAATTTCACCAATTACCAAGCTCTGCCAACAGTGAAATTTCACCAGTCACCAAGCTCTGCCAAGCAATTAGGTTTTTAGTGCTCCTCTCTTGAATGGTCAACCAAGGATTACTGAAAATTTCAAAACACACACACTTTCTTGAGAAGCTGCTGGAGGATGTGCTCCAACAAAATGAGAGAGTAAATCATGAAAGAAGACACAGGGTACAGGAAATCCTGTGTCCTACCATGGGAGACGTAAAGCTACTCCCCAGAAAATGTGTGAAGAACAGCAGGACTAGGGCATTTCCCACCCGGAGGGAGCAGGAGAAAAGAATGCCCTGGGAGGGAGTTCTTCAAGAAAAAATTAAGGAAGAGGAAAAGGAGAGTAGATAGACGACCGAATAGGTTTGAACATCTAGAAAAACTGTTTTTGAGATGTCTTACAGAAAGTTTGTAAATGCAAAAATAAAAAGAAGCAATTAATTTCAAGAAAACCAAGTTGTACAAGAAAATGAAATGCTGCTACATGACTTGATATGGAATGTAATGCATATAGTCATAATAGAAACGTTAAACAGGAGATTTTTTTAATTGTGTAAAAACCGTATTAAGATGATTTTGATTTCCATCTAGAAAGTAGACAGCCAGATGGGAGCATTGTTCCCATCATAACAATGGAAAAGCTGGAAAAGCTAAATAATGTACCAAAACTTTTTTATTTTTATTTTTTATTTTTTAGCCTACTGGAGAGCTGAAGTCACAGGCCACCAAGCAAACTGGTTTCTGGAGGTAAACAGAACGCATTATCTTTGATGGATGAAACACATGATCTGTTTCATGTTTGACAGAGCATGGAGGAATAGGTAGTTGCCGCAAAAGTAGATAAGAAGAAAATGACTAACACCTTAATGAAATCTTAATGGCTGAGCATTAGCTAGAGTGGCAGTTTACTGGGGGCCCCAGAAACAAGCGTAACTTGTACCCCCAGACAGTTTCTTCCTACAGTCCTCCACTGGACACTCATGAGAATGATGTGGAGTGGGACAGGGTCCGAGGGAAGCCCCATGGTAACACAGCCATGCAAGACATGCCAAGGGTTGAGGGTAGAGCAGGAGTACCTTGAGAAGCCCATCTGTGCTCTGGTCTCTGCATGAGTGCAAGGTGGTAATTGGCTGCTGCCAAGAGATAAACACCTACACCCTGGCTTTGCTTTGATTTAAGATGCCCATCCCACAGGTCCCTGACCTGCTATAAAGCAAATGTTGACTGCCTCTGCTGGAGGAGTAGAAGACCCTCCCACCACAATGCTACAGTGACACTAAGCAAAAGCCATCAGGGCCGGGTGCCTTGGCTCATGCCAGTAATCCCAATACTTTGGGTGGCCGAGGTAGGCGAATTGCTTGAGCCTAGGGGTTTGAGACTAGCCTGGGCAACATGGCAAAACTCTGTCTCTAAAAAAAAAAAAAAAAAGCCAGATGTGACGGCGCATGCCTGTAGTCCCAGCTACTCAGGAGGCTGGTGTGAGGGTCACCTGAGCCTGGGAAGTTGGAGGCTGCAGTGAGCCATGATAGCACTGCTGTACTCCATCCTGGGCAACA